TGTTGCATACTTAAACATATATAGTGGCCAGTTGCAGCTAGTGTGTGATGAGCATTATTGGCTGTCGGAATAATTTAAAATGCCATGTAACAAGGACTATTTGCATAAGCTACAAATGCAAAAAAGAATGCATATACAGAACCAAATGGATGTTGGTGATACCATTTATGTGCGTAAATATGCCATATGCTCGCAAACAGGACACGACCGTCGTAAATGTCCTTCAGCTGGTTTGGGTGGCGGTGGTAATCCAGCTGTTGGTGCAAGTTCATCTAATATTCTCAACTATCAAGGATACACGTAGTTTTTTGTTTTTGTAATGTTTTTTGTAATAAGTGTATGTAGTTGTTTATGTTGCAAGATGTATCAAATAAAATTTTGTTTCCACATCCTTGTTACATCTTATTGATATTTAACACTTTTCAGTTGAGTAAATCAATAAATTTCTCCCTCCCGTTCATGTAATAAAAAATAGTATTGGATTATCCTCATCACGTCGCCTCTTTATCGGAGGATGCGCTGCAGCATAATCGTCAGTAGTGCTGGCAGGATCGGTAGAAGGGGTCGTCGGTCCATCAACAACCTACAAAAGAATAAATCAGCTTAGTATATGAAAGTATATATTAGTAATTTACGTGTTAAGTCAAAAAAAATTCTTACCTTGGTCTCGTCGGCCTCTTGAATATAAGCATCCATCGCATCCTGCTTAGCATCGCACAAAGTGGCCTCCGTGACGAGTTGGGATGAAGCCTTAATAAGAAAATTATAAAGTTATTTATGACGAATCAATGAGATAAAAACAAATTTAAATTTAATAGTAATACAAACATATCTGCGCCTGTGAAAGATCCACAACACCTGTCGACGATGAGCCATAACTCAGCCGGCGCCCACCATCCACATCTCGGGTCGGCGGATCCTCAGAAGTGGTCGATGGGCCTAAAAAGAACTGCTCCCAAACTCCGGTAATGCTCGTGCCCGTGATCAACAATGGACCTGACGGGGTCACTTGCGATGTTGCTGGAGTCAGCGCTAGTTGAAGGCTGTACGACGACATGCTGCTGGGATGCTCTCTGGCTGATGGAGGTCACCCGACAGATCAAATCCAACATCCTCATCAGGTGCCTGAACAGGTGCCTCAACTCCCCCTTGTTGGGGACCACCTCCTCTCCGCCCCCCATAACCCCGTGGGACAACCCTGCCTCGTGCTCCCCTCGCTCGTGGGACATGCCTACCTTGATGGTAGTGCTCTGGCACTCATCCTCTCTGGCTCTATGCAGTATCCGGGCAGCCAGCTCTGTAACCTGTCGGCCATACTCCTGCAAAGCGACCACAGGATCGCCGGCATGCTGCTACATCTGCAGTCCCAACTGGTGGACTAAATGTAGGTCAATAACCTGCACAACATGTAAAATATAAATTAAGGAATGCTATAACACATTTATAAGTTAGAATACCAAATAACATTCATGTGCCTCGTGCCTCCCGGTATATGAAATGTATCGACCGCCAGCTCGATGAATGGGATTCCCGACGAAAAGTCAGGTAACGCCGCGGTACCAGGGCATATAATCATGCTCAGTATCCTGCCGACTTGGTGGGGGGGGGAGGGGGCAGAATCAGGTGAAATCACTAGTCCCAAGTAAAATCTGATCCTGTAGCCATGCCAAATATGAGTCGTCCACCCTTGTACGATCATCCCGCTGGTAATGCGTGGTCTGCCAGGTGGGAAGTGTCGGTACGAGTTGCGGCCTGCCAAACTGACGAAGTACCCGCTCGGTGGCATGATGATCCACAATATCAAGGCAGAACAACGGGATATAAGAGTCTCGCATAAGTCGGCCGACCGAGCAATAATAGGGCAAGCCAGATAACATCGCGTTGTTGTATGGCGTCCAGATGAACTATTAAGGAAGAACAGAAAATGTCAGTATACGCAACTTGTGTTTGAAGCAATGACAAGCAAACTTAGATATACATTTACCTGTATGCCATCCAACAAATCCAATATATCCCTACACAAGGAGAGATTATGCCGAGCCTTATACTCGCGCGTATGTCCCCGCCGGTGAACCCACCTCCTAGCTAGAGGGAGGAACTCCGGTGGTACATCCAGATCTAATGGTGGTAGAGGTGGCTGCAACTGCAGGAACCGCTCCCAGGCCCGAACCTAACATAAAAAGTTAACGTAAAATTTAAGATATATTTTTACTAGGTATGATAAAATGAATAGAGTATTCGAATATGTTGTCACTTGTAGTAGCGGCAAAAATCCAACAACGTCATGCTGGGTGCCCATGCTCGCCCGACACATATGCATTTACAAGTAGGCGAGAACAATAGAGCCCCAGCTGTACTGGGGTAAATCATCTAGCTGCTCAAGATGATGAAGAAATCTCAAGCTAACTAGGTTTCCCGAAGTGTTCGGGAACAAGACCCCTCTAAACATAAGAAGTAGCAACAACCTCGTATACTGGTCAACATGATAATCTGGTGTATCGCCATCGATCTGAGGATGCAATGCCTCCAACCACTGTCGAATAGTCGTCAACGGAAAACGACTGGTCCCATGAAGTACATTCTCATCCTCTAGCCGGAAAGCAGTAAGTCGCTGCAATATGTCCAGGTACTGCACACGTGTCATCTCTGTCATGCCAGACGGCAGGGCAACGGGCAGTCCATCAACGGGCAGCCCATATAAAACCTCCACGTCCCGTAGTGTGACAATGGTCTCGCCAATGGGCGGGTGGAATGTGTGCGTCTCCGATCTCCACCGCTCTATCAGGGCCGTGACCAAAGACCAATCGAGTTGCAGCCACCCAATCTCCAAAATCCTATAGAAATCCGTCTCCCGCAGGCATGTGACTACACGAGCATGGGAACTCTGTCATGCAGAAAGTCCCACATGTTGTCCACTCTCCTGGCGCGGAGAGTCTGAGTCAGTAACTCACCCTCCCATATGTGGGCGGACCAATGATCGCCCTGAAACGAGAGTAGCTCTTCGCTAGAAGGTCCGGGATGAATAGGCGGCACCTCCATGTCGTCTAATGTAAATTAAACAACATGAATTACATGTTAGTTTTATAATTTTATATTTTTATTTGTAAATTAAATAATTACTTTTTATAATTATACAATATTTAATTATGATGTATTCACATAAGGATTACAGGCTCGATATTTGAGGCCAGTAGCACCAAGATATCCTAAATTCTTCTATGTGTTAGTTTTATTATAATTTTATATGTTAGTTTTAAATTAAATAATTAATTTTTATAAATAAATATTCACAAATGGGCTCTAGGCTCGATATTTGGAGCCTAGTATCACCAATTTATCCTGAATTCTCCTATGTGTTAGTTTTATAATTTTATATGTTAGTTTGTAAATTAAATAATTAATTTTTATAAATAAATATTCACATATGGGTTCTAGGCTCGATATTTTTAGCCTAGTAGCGCCAATTTATCCTGAATTCTTCTATGTGTTAGTTTTATAATTTTATATGTTAGTTTGTAAATTAAATAATAAATTTTTATAAATAAATATTCACATATGGGTTCCAGGCTCCATATTTGGAGCCCAACAGCACCAATTTATCGTGAATTCTTGTATGTGTTAGTTTTATTATAATTTTATATGTTAGTTTGTACATTAAATAATTAATTTTTATAATTAAATATTCATAAATGGGTTCCAGGCTTGATATTTGGAGTCCAGTAGCACCAATTTATCCTGAATTCTTCTATTTGTTAGTTTTATTTTACATGTTAGTTTGTAAATTAAATAATAATTTTTTATAAATAAATATTCACATATGGGTTCCAAGCTCGATATTTGGAGCCCAGTAGCACCAATTTATCCTGAATTCTTCTATTTGTTAGTTTTATTATTTTATATGTTAGTTTTATAATTTTATATGTTTGTTTGTACATTAAATGATTAATTTTTATAATTATATAATATTTAATAATTAAATATTCATATACGGGTTCCAAGCTCGATATTTGCGGCCAGTAGCACTAAATATATGTTGACTATAATTGGACAGAGTTTAGTTTGTGTTTGATCTATCAGTTATTTTGACGTATTTTTGAGTATAAGAGATACTTAAATTACATGGAAACTACGCTAAAAGGCGCTACATTTTACTACGCTAAAAGACACTACATTATACTATGCTAAAAAGCACTACATTTTACTACCCTAAAAGGGCATTATATTACTAGTCTTTAAGCAAAAATAATATAAACCAGATAAAACACAAAAAATACATTTTAATCACAAAATATTCACAAAAATACATATAAAACAGTAATAGTAATTTATTAACATTTTTATTAACAAATAATAACGATTTCGCAGTTTTTACATATTTTTTTAGAACATTAATATCTTAGTCCGGATAAAAATAACATACCAATTTATTCACAAAAAAATACAAAACAATATGGAACACATTCAAAATAACTAATATGCATTACTTATATGAGTTTCGACATAAACTAAATTGGAATACTTCGATTTATGATTTTCGAAAATTTGAAGAATTGAAAATTTGACTCCGAAACAAGCAATGCACAACAATAGAAGGCTTTATTAGAATGTGAGACCAACTTTGATTAGTTTTTGTGGGACGGGTGGGGTCCAAACGAGCCTTTTGGGTCGTTAATGGAGGGGGGACCGCTGTAAGGGGGAAGGGATTCTGTCCGGGGAAAGGAAAGGGGACACGTTTTATATATGTAAAATGCGGTTTATTATTGCGTTTTATATAAAGCGCGATAATGAACCGCACTTTATATAGTTATCTTATCAACTTACAAATAAAATGCGGTTTACGTCTAAAAAAGTATTTTGAGTTCCGAAAAAAATCCAATTTCGGGTTCCGGTTGTGAGCAGTCATTTAGGTTGATTATTCTATTAATAAAAAATAGAAGGAGATTCACAGAGGGATCCTTTATCTTCTCAGGATATACCATGCAAGTACAGACACTCACGCGATAAGCCCACGTGATAAACAAAGTACAGGGGCATTTTCGTAATTGGATCGTCTGTACAAAAGCCATTGAAGAAATGAAAGCGATAAATGACTTGAATGAAGGCAGCTGTCAGCGCCAACTCAACTACGCACTCGCCGTCGATCTTCTAATACTCGTCTCTCCCCGTTCCTCAATACAAAGAATATCCGTTACCCTCGCCGGGATATTCTATCGCCGCGACATTTCTTTGCAACGCAAGTATTAAATACTTTGCTACAGGTTTGGATATCGACTTTGCGTTTTGATACTTGGAGAGGGAATTAGGGTTTTGAGAATGGGGGATTCGCTGGAGNAATGATAGTGACATGGAGCACTCGAACCCTATCGAGAATTTGTTGACGGAGGTTGATGATGTTGAAGCTGGCAATGGTCTTGGCAGTGTTGATGCAAAGCTCAGTGGCTAAGATGCCAATTTTTGATAAAGTGGGAGGACGCTTCGTTCCTTGGTCAGCAAGAGAGAAGCTTGTGGTGGCTTATTTTGTGGTCATTCTATTGTTTGGACTTTTAGGGTTATAATTCGGATTGTCTTGTGTCAGACTGTCTTAACTTTCCGTTTTGTCATAACGTTTGTTTAAATTTTGTCCAGTTTGTTTTAGGATTTTATTCCGGTTTGTTTTGTTTGTTTTACCGGCAGTCTAATGCAAAATCCGGTCTTTTATTATTTACAGTCATCTTTTTGTTTAGTCCTTCTATCATTTTTGTTCAGCGTCGATTCTAGTGACATGACATGCGCACACAGTTTGGGCCTAATCTTAAAAGTTAATCATAAAACCTCGGAAAGGCGATCAAAGCATTTAAAGGAAATAAGTACGGTTTGAGATTATTCGGAGCTTGAGTCATGTGGAACTAGGGCAAGTTAAACAAAAAGAAAACCGTTAAAAGCAAAGATTCGCCAAATTGGCATGAGGGTCGTTCATAATAATGAGAATGAGAGTGTCGCCCAACGGTGCTTTAGAAGTGACAAATGAACAAACAGATGTTGAATATAATTGTTAAGTCCAGCACCATCAGAAGAGGCTACGAATTTAAATTGTGTTGTTTGCACTTGGCATGTTTTGAAGACTGGAATGACGAAGGCATTTTGTTATGCTACCTAAATACTTTATACTTCGTTACCCCTTTTTTGAGCCTTATTTATTTTTCTTTCATACCCCTCGTTCGGAATCAGTAGCAACGAAAAAAAAAAGAGAAAGAAAGAAAACAACAAAACGAAAAAAAAAGAGAAAAAAAAGAAAAGAAAAGAAAATGATAACAAAGAAAAAAAGAAAGATGAAAAAGAGGAATTGAGAACTACGTTCGACCTGATTCCTCAAAGAGGATACGTAGGCGCTTCACGGCTCGGTCATAGTTTCGAAAAAAAAAATCAATTAAAATGTCCCCAAGCAAGAAACTAGGGCAAATGTTGCGTTCGTTGTAAATAAATATGGTTTCGAAGGTTGTAATTAATAACCCAGAATCGATGCACTTTTGAGCCTTTAATACCCTTTCTTTATAGCCCTATCCAAAACCCACATTACGGTCCACAGAAAGACCTTCTGATCAGTCTTCAAAAGATGCCAAGTCAGACAAATGANCGTCGATCTTCTAATACTCGTCTCTCCCCGTTCCTCAATACAAAGAATATCCGTTACCCTCGCCGGGATATTCTATCGCCGCGACATTTCTTTGCAACGCAAGTATTAAATACTTTGCTACAGGTTTGGATATCGACTTTGCGTTTTGATACTTGGAGAGGGAATTAGGGTTTTGAGAATGGGGGATTCGCTGGAGCGTTTGGGATCCGAAGGAGCAATGGGACCGGAATCGAGTATAATGAAGGAGGATTTGTGTATGGATATAGATCCTCCCTTCAAAGAGAACCTCGCTACTGCTGAAGATTGGCGCAAGGCGCTTAACAAGGTGGTTCCTGCCGTCGTCGTTCTCCGGACCACTGCTTGCCGAGCATTTGACACTGAGTCCGCTGGTGCCAGTTATGCTACGGGCTTTGTTGTTGATAAGCATCGTGGAATTATACTCACAAATCGACATGTCGTAAAACCTGGTTAATAACCATTTCTTTACCTAAAATGTTAATCTTTTCAAGTTCAATTTTTTGTGTGATGGAAGTGTTGACTGTTATTTGCTTTGTAGGACCTGNCCTTTCCTATTATACAAGATGAGATCTGACTATTACATCCAAATGGTATAGTCGGCAAGGAACAAGTGCGAGGCCAGTGTCAAGGAAGATATCCCCAGCAAAAGGGAATTGACAAAAGGGGTGACGAATGTCAAGAGGGATATCCTTGCCGAAATCAAAAGTTATAAACCTCGAGGCCAAGGCATGTGGACAAATTAAGGAGAGCAATNGCTATGTTTGTGAACCGTGAAGAGATACCAATCTATCCGATATATAGAGACCCTGTGAGTTCATTTCCAAGCTCCATCTTTGGTATCTCTGTGGCACTTCGGTTTTATGTTCTTTGTCCCTATCTGTAATGCACTCTTTTCATTTTTGGGACGTTTCCAAATTCCATTAACAAAATAATTGTATACAACTTGCACACACTTTGCTGTGAAGTTTTTTATTTTACTCCATCCCAATTTATGTGATGCACTTTTCATTTTAATCTGTCCCAAAAGGAATGATACTTACATTCTATCTTTAGCATATAGATTTATTAATTAATAATAAAAAGACATCGATTCACAATTATGGAACAATTGTCAATCATTTAACTTAATCAAATAACAATGAAGCTAAGTCATGTTGTTAACTGAAAATGAGGTTCTTCAACAATTCTGAGCGATTAATTGTCATATATTTATATTTTTTGCTAAGCATATATTTATATAGTATTGTATATTAAATTTTGGCTATGGTGGTTTTGGTTTTGGCTTTGGGGTTAGGAGTGGAGGAGGTACTTCGTTGCAGTGTTATCAAAGGCGAAAAGCGCAAAAAAGCTCTAAGGTTTGTTGGGGGTTTAAGCGCAAATAAAGGGTGGGCTTTAAGGAAGAAACGCGCAAATAGAGTAAAACCACAAATATGTATGTGTAGTCCAAGACTAATATCTATAAGCATGAATACCAAATATATAGACAAAAAAATTGAAGAGAATTTACGATAAAGTGAAATATCAATTGCTTAGTGTCGCCTCTTCAGGATTACACTTATTGGCAAAGAAAAGCATGCTTTAGCGCCTTGATGACAACATTGAAGCGCCCGTTAAGCGAGGCGAAACGCTCTACGTGTTTTGAGCCTTGCTTTAGGGCTTAAGCGCGCCTTTGATAACACTGCTTCGTTGTTGGATTTTGCGGAGGCATTTGAGCTGGTGATTGCGAACTCTAGTTTTCCAAAGAGGGAGGAGCACTTAGTTACTTTCCAAAGTACGGTGGCGAGGACCCGGATTGACTACATACTCCTCAGGAGATGTGATAGAGGTTGTGTAAGGACTGCAAGGTTATTCCGGGGAGACCCTCGTGACATAGCATATGCTCTTGGTGATGGACGTCGGTATCATGATAAAGAGAAAGAAGAGGTCGGCACGACAACGACGACCGAGTATCAGGTGGGGAGCCTTGTCTAAGGATAAAGCTTAGGAATTGGAGAGGAGGTTATGGACATTAGGAGCCTGGAGGAGTAGTGAGGACGTGGATGCTATGTGGGCGACGACGACGAATGAGGTGTTAGTGGTCTCGAAGGGATACACTGACAGGCACGCCGATGACTGGTGGTGGAATGAATTGGTCCGAGGCAAAGTGGAAGAGAAGAAGGTGGCGTACCTGAGGTTAGTAGGGAGCACAAACGAGGAGGAGAGGAGAACGAACATAGAGAGGTAGGAGGGAGGCGAAGTTGGCGGTCACAGAGGTTAAGACTATTGCGTTTGCTCGTATGTACGAGGAACTGGGGGACAAAGGCGGGGATAAAAAGCTCTTCCGATTGGCCAAGGCAAGAGAGAGAAAGGCTCGGGATCTGGATCAAGTGAGGTGCATCAGAGATGAGGACGGCAAAGTATTGATGGGAGAGGCACAAATTAAGAGGAGATGACAGACTTACTTTTATAGACTTCTGAACGAAGATGGAGACACGGATATAGTGCTAGGTGATTTGGGGCATTCCGAGAGTCATCGAGACTTTGGGTACTGTAGACGCATTAAGGTTGAGGAGGTCGTGGGGGCTATGTGTAAGATGAGTAAGGGTAGAACGACCAGACGAAATTCCGGTTGAATTTTGGAGGAGTGTGGGTTGAGCAGGTTTGGAGTGACTGATTAGGCTGTTCAATATTATTTTCAGGACGAAAAGGATGCCGGATGAGTGGAGGTGGAGCACGATGGTACCGTTGTACAAGAATTAAGGCGATATCCAGAATTGTAACAACTATAGGGGCATCAAGTTACTAAGTCATACCATGAAATTTTGGGAGAGGGTGGTGGAAAAGAGGGTGAGGAGAACTGTGTCTATATCTGATAACCAGTTCGGGTTCATGCCGGGTCGTTCAACTATGGAGGCTATCCACCTTATTAGGAGGTTAGTGGAACATTACAGGGATATGAAGAAGGATCTGCACATGGTGTCATTGACCTAGAGAAAGCGTATGGCAAGGTACCTAGGGAGGTTCTTTAGAGATGCTCGGAGGCGAAAAGCGTGCCGGTTGCTTACATTAGGGCGATTAAAGACATGTATGAGGGAGCTAAGACCCGGGTTAGGACGGTGGGAGGCGACTCGAAGCATTTTTCGGTTGTTATGGGGTTGCACCAAGGATCTGCGCTTAGCCCATTTTTATTTGCCCTGGTTATGGACGCATTGACGCACCATATTCAAAGGGAGGTGCCATGGTGTATGTTATTCGCTGACGACATAGTTCTGATAGATGAGATGCGAGGCGGTGTTAGCGAGAGGTTGGAGGTTTGGAGACTTGCTCTTGAGTCTAAGGGTTTCAAGTTTAGCAGAACTAAGACAGAATACCTAGAATGCAAGTTCAGCGCCGAGTCGAGGGAAGTGGGCGTGGACGTGACGCTTGAATCACAGGTCATCCCCAAGAGAAGCAGTTTTAAGTACCTTGAGTCAGTTATTCAGGGGATGGGGGATCTACGAAGATGTCGCGCACCGTATAGGGGTGGGGTGGATGAAGTGGATGTTAGCATCTGGAGTCCTATGTGACAAGAAGGTGCCACTGAGGCTTAAAAGTAAGTTCTATAAAGCGGTGGTTAGACCAGCCATGTTGTATGGGGCAGAGTGTTGGCCGGTTAAGAACTTGCATATCCAGAAGATGAAAGTAACAAAAATGAGGATGATGAGGTGGGTGTGGGGGCACACCAGGATGAATAAGATTAGGAATAAAGATATTCGGGAGAAAGTAGGCATGACCCCGATGGATGACAAGATGCGGGAAGTTAGGCTCAGATGGTTCGGGCACGTGCGGAGGAGAAGTCCAAACGCCCCAGTAAGGAGATGTGAGCGGTTGACTTTGATAAGTATAAGATGAGGTAGAGGGCGACCCAAGAAGTATTGGGGAGAGGTGATCATGCAGGACATGATGAGACTTCAGATGGCCCTTGATAGGAAAGTGTTGAGGTCTAGCATTAAGGTTGTAGGATAGGGGGTAGCGGAGCTCTTTGCTACTCCGTACCGGGTGAGAGGCTAGTCTGACAGGGTTGTGTCCTAGAGTGCTAGTGGTTATTGTTGTGTACACACTTCTCTTTCATTTTTCATAGTACTGAGACTTTCTTACTTGTTACTGTTATTGTTTTTCATCTATTTTCTGGTACTTTTGATTTTGTTAGTATTTCTATGCTTTCTGCTGTTGGTACCAATATATTGTCTTTTTCGTCTGCTTGAGCCGAGGGTCTATCGGAAACAGCCTCTCTACCCCTTTGAGTAGGGGTAAGGTCTGTGTATACTCTACCCTCCCCAGATCCCACTTATGAGATTTTACTGGTGGTTGTTGTTGTTATTGTATTGTATATTAAATTTGTAATATTTTTAGCTGTAACCAGGCACTCCCACCCTTACTCTTATTCTGTCCTCGAATCTTAAATGAAAGCGATGACGGGTCAGACACTTATTTCATGCCCATATCGCGTACTCACACCCGTATCCATGTGACAAAGGCCCAATCCATTAGTCTACTAAGGGCCTCCATCACAAACAAAAACAATAAATGATACTCCCTAGGTTTTATTTTAGATGTTGATGTCTGATTGGGGACGGAGTTTAAGAGCAAAAGAAAGATATACATGCCAAAGTGCCATGGCTATAAAAATATTTCATTAAGGCAAAATAGAAAATTTAAAGTCAAAAGAGTTTTCAAACGCAGAAATGTGTAACAAACCAAATAGAAAAGAGTGTTATATAAAATGGAACTGAGTGGGCCTATGTTGACTTCAATTTGATGCTATATATAGGTTTATAATGAAAATTGCTGAAGAATACTTTACAATCATATTCCATACTTATTTTATCATGAATAAACCTTGTTTATCCATCTTCTAGGTTCATGACTTCGGATTCTTCCGTTATGATCCTGATGCAATACAATTTTTGAGCTATGAAGAGATTCCTCTTGCTCCGGAGGATGCTTGTGTAGGGCTAGAAATCAGGGTTGTTGGTAATGACAGTGGAGAGAAGGTATGTGGATCAAGATTTTATCCCAGTGCCTTACTTTATTTTGTAAATTGATGCATCCAAGCTGTGTACTTCTTTACTTGAAAGGAATTCGTTATGTTTTTGTTCTATTAAACTTGTCGTATTCTGTCATATTACGATTAATGTATCCTGTAATTGATCAGAAGGGAATGAAGTGAAACCTTGCCTACTCGTTATAAGAATCAGTAAATGGGTTAAAACTTTCAGGAATGAGTGTTTCGACTCGTTGTAATTTAGATGGCTGTGTCATACCTGTAGAAAAATTCACATAATGGAGGGATGATGGCTCAAAAAAAAAAAACTTTGGAGGCCTGATATCATTCAAAACTTGTAGAGGGGGTACATAACTCTTCATGTGTTATTCCTTCTCAAAAAACTCCTGATGTGTTGTTTTGTTTGTAAAATAATCATGTGATGTTGAATGCATATATGGTATATGCTTGGTCTTCAAGGTCAAGCATTAGAATGCATAGGTTGTTCAATTTTGACCTATATGTTGCTGTAGCTTGGCAGCATGAAACAATGTCTTTTTTCATCCAAAGCACTGAAGACAAGCTAACTGTCACGAGTCTTTACCTTTATTAACCAAATTTGTACTCTCTGATCCTGCATGTGAGCTGGCGTGAGCAGTCAAGGTTGCCTTTTAAATACAATGATTATGTTGTTTATGCTGATGCATTTATGTTATTTTGGAGTGCCTTTGAGGCCACTTTTAATCGTTTGAGGCCACGGATTTTTGGATTAAGGGGTATGTTGCAACGCTAAGACCATTCAAGAGTTCACTTAAATTTACTTGACCTAATAGCGGTGATTTTAGATTACTTGATCTATAGTTGTACGCAGGTCTTTTCTAGTCATTTTGATGGGTGTTAGGAGGTTTTGCTTGTCTTTCTGCACGAGCAGTTTGAAATTTTGGATTCTTGAGGTTTTTTAGGAATTTGGTGCCACTATTAGTCTATTACTAAGTTGTCCATCATCTTTTCCTGTTACCAACATTGTGTTACTGCTATAGTTTATTGTTTTTCTTGCACGGCTCTCAGATTTGGTGTGTTACATGACCTTTCTTTTTTAGGCTCTTGTTCCTTTACTGACATATTGATGCAGCTAATTTATGGTTTAGCTTGCTACAATGGTTCTCAGCTTTGTTGTGTTACATGACCTTTCTTAGGCTCTCGTTGTTTTCCTTGCATCCTTTTGATTGTTTTTGAGGGGCTATATAATCTATAAAATATTTCACATCCTATTCCATTTTGCTTTATTCTGGATTCTGCAGGTGTCTATTTTAGCAGGAACGCTTGCTCGTCTTGACAGAGATGCTCCGCATTATAAAAAGTATGTGCTAGTTTACCTAAAATGTCCATTAACCTGGAGATCTAATGTATTTCACTAAATGTTATGAGCCATAAGAATCTCATTAGTGTTTACGATATCCTTCAAAATTTCTTTGGTGGACCTTATTATTAGCAGTAAGTTCTTGTGTTTTAAGTACTAAGCACAAATTGTAGGCGTCTGTTGTTTTAAGCTGTTCCTTTTCCTCTGATTGATTTTGGGTTGTGCAATTATGTCACATGTTGACTGCCCTGCCTCAAAATCAATCTAGTGAATATTGTTGTTTGTTTTATTGCATGTCGAGGAGTTCCGTTCTGTCCAAACACAATGAGCCAATTAAAGCTTTTGAATATTAAAATGATCCCTCTTAGATTAAATAACTAAACTATGAACTATCATTAGAGTATAAAGCCGGGTTTGTAATGCTATGGGATATCTTTTATGCGATGAGCCAATCTTCGTAGTGTTTGTGATGGAATCCACTTTGATTTTGGTACTGCAAATGTTTCATAGTACACCATATTCCTTTTGATAACTCCAATTTTTGGTGCAGGGATGGATACAATGACTTCAACACATTCTACATGCAAGTAAGCAGATCTTGTGTTATTCGATCTAGCAGTAGAAAATTTCGGCTTTTTAGCCCTTGAAAATTTGCTCTATTTATTTGTTCAGAGTGCGCTATTATCATATATATGTTAAACATGTAACTTGTCAAGGACCATTAATCTATGCGTGAGAGAGAAGCAAATGTGGCTTAGAACTTTAAGGAGCCTGTGTGGACAAAAATCTAAGACACTGGTTGAAATCTTATACAAAGTTTATTCATGGACTAGTTCCCTAATAGGACGAGAGCCAAGAGAAAAAGGCATGGCAAAATAGGATGTGGCTCCTCTGGCTCTTTTATGGGTATCCTGGGGCAAGAGGCATAAGAGCTTTTAAGGGAGTAGAAATGATCTGGTATAACTGAGAGCTAATATGTTGTTCTTAGTTAATTTTGGTGAACCCATGAAGTGCCTGTTAGGGCAGATGCTTTGAGGTCCTTCCTTAAAGACATTACTTTTGTCCAAGTTTTCTACTTTTTATACACCAATTATACAGGGGAAGACTTCCCACATCAATAAATTATTACTATATCAAGAAAGATGTCAGTGTGGTTCTGAGTCCAGGGATGAGATGGTTGTGAACTTGTTTAACGTTTACGCATCTAAGAGACATTTCCGCAGACCCCACTTGTGGGATTACACTGGGTTTTTGGTTGTTGCATCTAAGAGACATTTCATTGCCTTACTGCAGTCTAGAGATTTTGGGTGGTTGGTCCAGATAAGAGTTTAGCTGTTAGACCAGACGGTTTCTGTACAGTTTAATGATCCTTCTTATGCCTACATTTAGTATTTCTGAGTAGCAACTTAAGAAAGGAGATTGCTGACGATTAGGTTGGGCATTGTATATCATAGATACCAAATGTTAATTCAAATGTTATCCTTAAACAAAATTTTCATGTGCTTGATCCGAGAAAAAAGAATTCGGCTCATAGGTGGGGTTGCTTAATGCATTCCAGGAAACTTCTAGTTTCTTATTTTAGGTCTTTATATGTCCACGCCAACTTTTCGGGAACTCTAGTAGTTGATTTACATTTTTGTTCTTTGCCTACAGGCTGCCTCTGGGACTAAAGGTGGTTCAAGTGGCTCCCCTGTAATAAATTGGCAAGGGAGAGCTGTCGCATTGAATGCTGGGAGCAAGTCATCAAGTGCTTCTGCATTTTTCTTGCCTTTAGAACGAGTTTGTACACGTTCTTTGATCTTCTCTTTGTTAAAGACCTTTCTAATGCTCTATTTCTGAACTGTGGAAAGTGCGTTTTCACTTGACTCTAAGATAAACTAGAATTTTTTTAAATTTAACTAGCGAAAAGTATTGTCAGAGACAAGTGCTTTCCAACAATACTATAGCATTGCAAGTCCTTCTTGATTCCTTGAATGGGCAAACAGTACACATTTTATACTTCTTCGAAATTGGCTATTTGCGTTTTGATTTATATTCTGCTAATTCTTCAATTTTTTTATTATATCGGGAAACCATATCCTTCATTTGATCATCCTTTTTTTTCTTTATTCTGGGTTTTCTGTTGTCACTGTGCACTAGCCCCTGTTATGCATGACGGCGAGTAGGTATTCTCCATCATTTGAATTACACTCCTGTAATCTATGGGATATAGGATCCAATTTCTTTATTTCCTGAAACAACAGATAAAGTGATTTCTTTTTCATATTTGGTCTTAGCCTGTTATTGCTCATGCATCATCCTTGAATGGGTTCATATATGGGAGGGGATTTGATATCTAAAGTTTCTTCATATGACTTCCACTCAATTTTTTTCTTCTTCATTATTTTATGGCCTATTCCATACTCCATCTACTATCAAATAACTATCCTTTTTCCTTTTAGAATTATTTTCTTACGAAAATGGGAGTACAGAGAGTTATGAGCTTTCCATATTCTGCATGTTTATTTCTATTTTATTTCATAAGCGTTTACATTTAATTGTTTGTTACCATCTCAATTTTTATTGTCTGTATGAGACTCATGTTGGTGCCTTATTTGGTGGCATTTCATATTTTCTGTTTCCCTGAAACCTTTCTTCCCCCATATTGGTGGAGAAAGTCTGAACTTCCTCCGTTATTATGTTAATTAATTACTCGATTAATTAACAGACAATCATTTTGTATATTTTTTTTTTCTATCTAGATTGTCAGGGCACTAAAATTCTTACAGGAAGGAAGAGATCTTTCTACAAATAAATGGGAGGCTGTCACTATTCCTCGTGGTACGCTTCAGGTTTGTTAGTTCTTTTCTTCTGGAACTCATTCCCCAACCTCCGCTCTCTCCTTTAGGATTTATTTTTATACCTTATTTCTTCTGAAGTGATATTGCTCCTTTTGTTGCTGGCTTTCTTGATTTGTTAGTTGTAAAACACTATTTTAATCCATTCATTTACATCTAGCTTTAGTCTTTGTCAAGAAAGTAACTTGGTGCAGAAATAATCTCTCTTCTGATATTCACGCTTCCTTAAACTGGAAATGATAATTGTCGTACTGCCTTCCAGAAGTATTTTAACTTATAGTCTCCTGGTTGGTTTTTCTTTTTGATAACATGATGTAACTGATTCTTTTAATAAGGTGTGACCAGAGTACATTGTCTGATGTACTAAAAATATAAGGAGTGTTTTTCTACCAAATGTATCTACTCTTGCATCTGCCCTCTTCATATGACAGAATTGATTTTAGAAACAACGGGTGTTAGAATATTTATTTTGATGTCATGTTCTGTATCTTTTGTGGCCACAGGCATGGTCAGACATTTTTTTTATATGTATTTTAATAATTTGATCATTCATGTGAGATAATCCTCGATATGATCTTCATAGGTATCTGATATATGTGTTAACTTTTGGTCTATCAGATAATATATCTTTTTGTTTGACCTTTTCTTCCACGATAAATATTAGTACTATATTCTAATTGTAAGTTTTTGGAGGGGAATTCTGTCTTCAATATGTTTTACTTCAAACATGCTTGTCCTCCAAGGCTCAGCTACCTATTAAGGGGAAATTTATTCCTCTTTTCCTTTTTGTGATGGTCAAGTAATGAAAAAATTGTCAGAATTCAGACTTTCAAGCTGGTGACCTTCACAAACAAAGATACTGACCCTTTAGCATGTCTTACTTCATTCTGACAGCTTAACGTGCTACTCATCGGAGTCTCTCGTGATATCATAACGTAAACTTGAAACTCATATGCAGACACGTTTAATTCTAAAATATATTTATGATATAGGTAACTTTTATCCACAAAGGATATGATGAAACTCGCCGGCTTGGCCTCCAAAGTACTACGGAACAGGTAAGCACCAATTTTTTTTTGTTGCATGCTCTATTAAAAATATATCCATACAATTAACTTTTGAAATTGGACTTATATAGTTGGTGCGCAATTCCACTCCACCTAGTGAAACTGGAATGCTTGTCGTCGATTCGGTGGTAAGTGCACTTCTTTTCAAGTGATCTTGCCACAGTTGTGTTCTGTGTATCAACGCTTATCCTCTCTCTTGGATTGTTACAGGTGCCTGGTGGCCCAGCTCATAATCATTTAGAGCCTGGTGATGTACTTATTCGTATGAATGGGGAGGTTAGTCTGGCTTTGACGTTTTAGGACATCTTATATTGATTTTCTCTGCCCTCACTGTGCTCTGTTTCTCGGTATAACTTCTTAATTTTTTTTATGTAAGAACATCTATTTGGCTCATATCTGGGGCTCGTTGTCCGCTTTTTTTCCCCTCTATCACTGCATCTAGATTATGCAGAGCTTCTTCAATTGTCACAAACCAACAATTGAACCGGGTCAAATGAGAGACCTAATTTGACAAAGTCATGCACTTGTCAGTCCTTCCCCTTTATGGTGTTCTACATGGGCAAAAGATAGTTCTAGTTCTCCAATTTCTTTCCTCTCAGACCAACACGAATCCAGAAAATTTACATTGTTTGCAATTGTTACCTTAGATAGTTGGCACATCATTCATTTGATGTTTCATAGCACTAATTTGCCTCCTGTAAGCTTCATTCAGGTGATCACCCAGTTCCTGAAGATGGAGACTTTACTTGATGACAGTGTCGAACATAAAGTTGAGCTTCAAATTGAAAGGGGTGGAACCCCTTTGACAGTGGAATTGGTGGTGAGTGTTGTCTTTGATGTTGAAATTCCTTTGCATTATTTTTTTTGCATTTATGTTCTGTTACAACACTGTTATAAAAAGATTAGGATTTTGGTTCATCTCAGTTAACTTAATTTGTTAATTCATCCAGGTTCCAATATACTTTATCATGCTAAGTGTAGGGGAGATCTCAGTCAATAATTTTGTGATTTGAATGGATATCTCTGAATATTTCGTTGAATATAGGTATTGCTTATTGAACTGCCCGATCACATTACTAATCCTTGATAACACACAAGAGATAATCATAAATACACACAAAAGGTTTCTACTAATGACTGAGCATTCCCATGCATATCTTACAAAAAATATGCTAGAATCCCATTTTTCAAGATAATGTAGACAATGAATTACGAATAGCCCAGAACAGCAATAACAGAAGGCATATTGAAAATAAACTTGTAGACCTTTGAGGAAAATTTATCATCTCCAATATCTATATTGATATTATTACCGCCATGACCCTATCCAATATGATGTGACTAAAGAAAATTAAGAATCACATGAGTATCACGGAGGACAAGCATCGACATGATAAGTACCAGCATCATAGTATATGCTTTGGGATTGTAAGTACAGATGTTATTCGCACACAATCGCTTATTCATGAGACACTTACTATGGGGCACCTTATTGCATGGTATCATGTGATGTATGCCGTAAGATACTAAAAACTGTGACTAGAATGAATTTTGGATATATTAAAGTTTGGATAATATTAGCTTGCGATGAGTTTATATGGAGTAATATGGTCAGTGGGGATTCATATAGTTGGCCCAAACTTGTTTGGGACTGAGGCGTAGTAGTTTTGTATTAAAGTTTGGGGAGTAAAGCAAAATTTGTATGGTATTGCTCAGTTGAATATTAGAAGTTAAATTTTGTTGCAGTTTCAGTTTGTTGAATTGTGTGACCACCTCGTCCAAAAGTTTAAGCTATTAGAGAGGGGACACATTTATTTGTTTCCTGTAGTTTTGCAACACGCCCACTCATGTGCGGGCTTGACTATCTTCCTCGGGGCAATTTATTTTGATTATGGGCGACAGTTAGACTTGATTCAAGACCTCTGCTAGATTGCTTTGCTACCATGTTGAGTTGTGTGACCACTTCGTCTAAAAGTTTAAGCTGTTAGAGGGGACAGATTTGTTTATTTATTGTAGGTCTGCAACACAAACGAGTGGGTTATTGTTTGTGATTTTGTTTTTCATTTTTCTTTTATTATTTGTCATATTCTAACTGGGTCTTTTCACTTTTGCATGTCTATTTCCATGTACATGATGCACATTACTGTTGGATACCTGGAAGTACTATGTTAGCAGTTGGTTGTTGTGTGAACACTAGTCCGTTCTAAGTTTCTTAATATTTGGGTTGAGTATTTGTTAAGAGTTTCTTTTTAGCAGAAAGTTGGGGAAATATTTCATGGGATTCAGTGGTAGTTCAACTCAAAAAGAGGAAAAGAAGCTACAATGGTAGTTTTCCGTCAGGCTTTGCTCTGGTCGAAGGAATCAGAAGGAATGATAGAGATGACATTATATTTTTATGTGTGAATATGCTTCCCTCCCTTTGCTTTTTCTATAGCTATTCACTCGTAAGGAGAAGTTGTCTTTGTGGTTAGCTTAGTTTGTTGCAGCATTTTCTTCCTTTGTCTGAATGAAAAAGAACAATGCTACTGAATATTAACGCCTACAGTCTCGTCAATAAGGTGAATTTTGACTTCCTCAAATAACCAATTTTACTGGTTTGGAGAGTAAACTGTAATATCAAAAGCAGGGGATCTGTGTGTGCACTCTGGGGAAAGGCTACCCTCAAAATATGCTTAAAACAAACCTGAGAAGACTTTATTTGAACACAATGGGAGAGATTTAGTAATTTTAAATAGTCGAGAAGATACGGAAGGGGGATAATATGATCCTGCTTAACCTCTACTAACAGCAGCTTCTTACTATGGCAATTTAGCTTTGTTGTAAAACTCAGTTGCAAAGTGGACTTTTAGCTTTTATCTATGGTGGTTGACCTTAAGCATGACAATCAGTTGCAAAACATGGTCTTCTGAAAGCTCTAAGGCTTTTTTTTTTTCATGAGTAACAAATCTTATTAGAAGAAAGGGATAAAGCCCACATTTGACTCCCCGGCTTTTTTTCCCTTCAGGTTCAGGATTTGCATTCAATTACTCCTGACCGCTTCTTGGAAGTCAGTGGTGCAGTTATACACCCCCTTTCATATCAACAGGTTTGTGAGATTTTGCTGCAAGTGCCTCACTATCTTTGATGCGTCTCTAGCAACGTTGGTTATCTATGAATCCTGTTAAAATGAGTTCTCCATATTATACCCATTTCCTAAGTTGCTCGGACTCGGGTGCGGATATCCGATACAGGGATGAATCCGAGTATCGGATTCGGCAAAATCTAAATTTTAAGATTCAGGGGGTGCGGATCCGGATATGGATACGGGTGCGGGGATTCGGCTAATAAAAAATAGAGCTATAAAAATATTGTAAATTTTGAGAGAGATTCTGTGAAAACTTACATGAATATTGTAGAATTCAATCTTTCATTCTCCTAGATGGACATTATTCTTTCATTCTCCTAAATCTGTTTTATTTTAGATTTTGAGAAATCAAAATCTCAATTTTTCTCCCAAATTTGTCGATGGACTCCGGTCAAAGTGTCCGAAGTCAGTTGACCGACTCCGGGACGTATCTCGCTCCCGCTCCCGTCCTCATCTCGCATTCGGACGAGGACGGCACCAAAATCGAAGAGTCCGCACAACTTTGCCCATTCTTATGTGAAATGAATATTTAACTAGTCGCAAGGGAAGAATTGGTGCTAGGATGCTCTGTTTTATGACTTGCTGTCTGTTTGGCTTGCCTAACATACTTGTTTTACAGTTTTAGAAGAAATTTAGCAATCTGTTTCTGGTTTATGCAAGATATTGCTGATCTTGCCAATTGTTCATACTCATTTTATTCTGAAAGACAGTAAGACTCCAATTGTAGAATTGGATAGTGGGTTTTATCTGTTTCGCCCATGCCTTTCTGGATGTCTTTTGTTTTGCTGCTATCTGAAGCATAACAAGCTTAGGAGGGTTCAGATGGAGGCATATCAAAAACAAAGTAGTAAATTTCTTGGTATGTACATTTGGTGCCTTGGGGCTTAGGCGATTGCGAGTTTTCAAGTGTTTTTTTTTCCATATTGTTAATGTGAAGGATTTATGGAAGTTTCAAGTACAGCACTCTGACTTATGAGAATCACAATCTGATAATTCAGTACATTGGATTTAATCTTGTTTACAACTACCATGAAAACAAATTTTCTTCAGATGGCATCTGAAATGCTGTCATCGTCTGAATTTTGGTTCATGAAAATTGAAAGCACGTATACCTTTTCTTTCTCTATTTTATCAATTTGCAGTTCTTTTATTATTCTTCTGCATTGTCCTTGCACATGACTCATGTCCATTTCGAGCGCAGCTTCCTTAGACTATTAAACTCAATAAAGCTCCCAATCAACTACATGAAGATGCAGAACAGAGTTCATTATGTGGGGTTTGTCGCCAGACATCTGATAGCTAAATAGTAATACGTGTCTAGAATACCATTTGACTTTGGATGGTTCAGGATTTGTCGTCCGTTAGGTTCTTGTGGTTAATTATTTGGTTCTAACAGTTCTCAAACTTCTCCATTTATCCCAAAGTAACTTGATTGGGAACCCTCTTAGTTACTTTTTTTCCATGTTGAACTTGGAACATTGTCTTGTTGCTCTGCTTGCATTTCCGTCTGTTTGGTGTCAGAAGGTGGTTCATATCTGGCGAGCAAGGAACGGTTTATCACGGATATTTTCCTGTCTTTCCATATTATTGCAGATACTTTATGAGGGTTGGAGCTCTGGATATGTTCCCCGCTTCTTGAAGAAAATTAATGCCTTATCCCTTTTTGTCAGTTCTAATCGTGTTGTTTGTATTTGAGGGGCAGACATATGTTTTCTTTGAACTTTTAGATGGAGTCTCTTTCTTTTGCACATTAAGTGACCTGTTATGCTCATATTGATTTCTCTTCCCTTCTCTGTAACGTGTGATTGGAGCTCTCATTTCTGCTTTTATTCTCTCTTTCTTAATGCAGGCTAGAAATTTCCGCTTTCACTGTGGTCTTGTCTACGTGGCAGAAACAGGGTTTGTACATTTTCATTTCCATGTTTAGATGATCGCTATGCCGCAATCTTTGGCTTAAGTTGTTTAGCTTTACCTAACAGATAATATTCTGAGGTTTCTGGTTTAAGTGTGTTTTTCTATAAGGAGGTTTGTAGTTTTAAGTTTAAAATTCTGTTGATGCAGTCTTTAAAAGTTTTTGACTGGAAAAAGAATTTTTGACAGTTATGCACTACTTTGCTATTGTAGATATATGCTATTTAGAGCAGGAGTTCCTCGCCATGCCATCATCAAGAAATTTGCAGGAGAAGATATATCAACTCTTGAAGATTTAATTTCTGTTTTATCTAAGTTGTCTAGGGGTGCACGAGTACCGTTGGAGTATATAAGCTACAGTGATCGTCACCGGAAAAAGGTANTTACAATGATCGTCACCGGAAAAAGGTATTAGTAGTGCCTCTTTGCTGATGTTGATTTTCACCACTTGTGCTCTGCTATCTTTCAGACAACAATCATTGCCTCTTTAACAGCTGCATCTAGTTCCTGCTTTCAACTGCCCTTTCCTTCTGTTTCTTGGCAAAACATGATAATTTGTTCATCTACTAATTTTGGGTTGCGAAGTCACAAGTGCCAGTCTCTGTTGGTTTTACTTTTTTTGCACAAACCACGGGCAAAAGATATGGATCCTAGTGGGTCTGCAGTCGGCTATTACTACTGATATGTCAGGGTGAAAGTAGAGTATCAATCTTATTTGAGAGCGTCGACAACAACAACGACATAATTCCCACAAGTGGGGTCTGGGGAGGGTAGTGTGTCCGCAGCCTTATCCCTACTTGAAGTTGGTATTTGAGAGGGTCGATGAAATAAAAAGAAAAATTAATAGTATGTGGAGTTGTGTTGTCAGCCTACGTTTTGGGATCATGGCAGGAAAATGTGAATATGTGCATCAGTTTTATGATTTTGTCTAAATGGTCTTTGAACCCCAGAAAACATCTGAAGAATTGTATATCGTCCTCTTTGACAGTTTTGGCGTTTTTGGAGGGGGTGATATAGATGATCGCAAATTTTACCTGCATGTAGATGCCGTTAGTCATGTTGTTTAGTCTTCTAGTGTAGTTAACCATTTGAACATGAAGCCTGGTGAACCAATGATTTACTGAGTTATGAAGGTGAGCTGCTGTCAGAAACATATTTCAAAAAGTTCCCCAGTATGAAAAAAATTAGTCTGGTTTCTGTTTCTATAAAGAATGAAAAAGTCCATGTTTTCACAGATTCTCCCTTGTACTACTGGAAATCAATTATGTCTGCTAATTTAATTCAGCCTGTTAGTAGATGTAGAAAAATTCCTCTGGCGCTTTGATTATCTCCTTGTACCAAGGCCCTCTCATAGCAACTTCGTTTGCTGCAGTCAGTCCTGGTCACAATTGACCGCCATGAATGGTATGCACCTCCTCAGTTATATAAACGTGATGACAGCTCTGGCTTATGGACGGCGAAACTTGCTTTGCCACCTGAGTCCCCACTTCTATTCTCTGGCATCCATCCAGGCAAACAAGA